GATGATGATGATGATACAGATGATGACGACGACGATGATGATGATGATGATGATGATGATGATGGTTTCGATTCTGATGATGTTGATGATGATGACGAGGATGCTGATGATTATGTTGTTGGTGGTGGCTGTGATGGTCAGGGTGATGGTGATGGTGGTGGTGACGACGCCGACGATTTTGAGGATGATGACGATGGTGATGATGATCGTAACGGTGATGGTCAGGGTGATGGTGATGACGATGACGATGACGATGACGATGATGATGATGACGCTGATGATGAAGATGATGATAACGATGATGGTCATGATGTTGATGATGGTAATGATTCATGATGATGCTGCTGCTGATGATGATGACGCTGATGATGAAGATGTTGCTGTCGATGATGATGATGCTGATGATGATGGTGATGATGACGATGATGATTATGCTGATGTTGATGATGCTGATGATAACGATGATGGGCATAATGATGTGGAGGAGATGGGAGAGGGCGGAGGACGAGGAGGAGGAGGAGGAGCAGGCGGAGACGAGGGGTTAAGATGACGGAGTAGTGCCGGTAGGGGGTGGGATGATGGAGTAATGCTGGCAGGCAAAGCGTGTTGTTATTGCTTTGCTGTCTATGTCCCAACAGGGCCAATAAGCGGAGGAGAAGCAGGAGGATGATAATGGTGATACCGGTGACCCGTGTGGGTGGATAGTACTACGAACGCCTGCTCGTTTGCTGCAACACATCTTGCTACATGGAGGCGTGTTAGCGGAACGGACAGCAAACACGGGACACGACATGCCACACCTCGTCGGCGCCAGTTGTGTGAGGACACGCTTGCGTACGCGTGAATTGCAACGAGCTTGCCCCATCCTCGACGTTTCGCGGCACTGCCAGGCACGGCAGACACATGCTCTGAGCGCGCAGCCTGCCACGATCTTGGGACCGTTCAGGTGAATGCAACCATGTGGTTCAACGTTATGTGGCGACACCTTGCTGCACCACTGAATTCAATTGATCCCAGCCACACTTAGATACCAGCACCCGCTACTGCCATGTTGTGTGTTGGTTGGTGCCCAGCCACATCGACAACAGCACCAGCTACTGCCATGGAAGGTACAGCAACGTGCAAATACGTGTGTTCCGTAGACGCCACCAACTTTTTGAATCGAAGAAGTGGTGTAGTTGTAATCAGCTTGCCCCCGTCGTTGCCCGACCTATCGCCATTTGGATATCTCTTCGAACGCTCATGGGACGCTTCGAGTGGTCTCGGGGGCTGTCTTGGCGCCCTCCTGGGTCCCTCATGGAGCTTGCTTGGGCGATCTTGTAGCCATCTTCAGGCCCCAGACGCTTATCATGAGCTCAAAGCAGAAACATGCCATTTTACTTGAGACTTGACACATTTTAGTCTCTTGGGGGCGTCCTTAGGAGGCTCCGTGGCCACTTGGAGCTGTCTTGGGGCCTCTTGGTGGCATGTTGGAGGAGGTCATCTTGGACCATCTTGTACCATCTTGGAGCCATCTACTTCCCAAGCTCGTTTTCTGGGGTGGGGGGACGTGTCGCGTTCCTAGCGTGACAGCAACCAGCTGTCTCGCTCACTCTCATCCTCCCTGGCACCGCGCAGGTAGCATCCGAGACTCGGCCCAGGCAGAGGTCGCCAGCGGATAGCCCGCATAGTGAGGATGGGCAACTTTCCCAAGGCTACCCTGCTTCCGCCCTCGGTCCATCCCTGGCCGTTTTCGTTGGCCGCGCCCCGCTCGAGAAGCTTTGAGACGGGTTTCCAAGGCCCTTGCATTCTTATCGTGCGTCCTTATGATACGAGTCGACTGTAAGCACTCCTTGTGAGCCGAATGCAGACTACAGGTTTTCGACGCTCGCGAGGTGTGCCGTGCGCGCCACTTGCGCCAGGTGCGCACCAGGAGCGCCAGGCGCCCCAGGCGACCGCGCGTGCCAGGCGCGCCTGGCATGCCAGATGCGCCACTTGCCACACTTCGACGGCGAGCGAGGGGGGGAAGTGAGGAGGAGAAGGCCCTCTCGGGCGGCGGCGGGAGCTCTCGGAAGCTCTCGCTGGACGTTCTCGCTGTCTTCGGGGAAGGCTCGGGCAACTCCGCCAGGGGGCCACACTTCTCAGGCCGCGCCTGGTGCGCGACGCGCACGGGGTGCGCTAGTGCGTGCCCGGTGCACGCGGCAGATCACACGAGGCAGCGCCGACCCCCCGGCCAGCCGCGTGCGGAACGCCAACGTGAAGTGGCGGCGGGGTGGTCAGCAGTTTTTTTTGTTGTTTCTTTCTTTTCGTGTGTTCCCGCAGGGCCTGTCTGGTGGGAGGAGGGGCAGGCGGGATGCTCAGAACACGTCGGAACAAGCAAACTACATTTAGACATGTTGACTGTTTTTCCCAACCATCCTGTGGTGTTGGGTCCTCGTTTTGAAGAGACGGTGCCCCGCGTTCCTCCTCCTCCTCCCCCTCCTCCTCCCCCTTCCTCTCTCCTCCCGTCAGCCACACCCAACTTGCCTCTGCTCTCGGCACACCTCTCACGCGTTTCGTAGCCCCATAGGGAGCTCCACCGAAGGCCCCAGTGGGGGTGTTCGCATGCGGTTCCCCCACCCAGGGCAGCGTTTCGTGGCCCCATAGGGAGCTCCACCGAAGGCCCCAGTGGGGGTGTTCGCATGCGGTTCCCCCACCCAGGGCAGCGTTTCGTGGCCCCATAGGGAGCTCCACCGAAGGCCCCAGTGGGGGTGTTCGCATGCGGTTCCCCCACCCAGGGCAGCGTTTCGTAGCCCCATAGGGAGCTCCACCGAAGGCCCCAGTGGGGGTGTTCGCATGCGGTTCCCCCACCCAGGGCAGCGTTTCGTGGCCCCATAGGGAGCTCCACCGAAGGCCCCAGTGGGGGTGTTCGCATGCGGTTCCCCCACCCAGGGCAGCGTTTCGTGGCCCCATAGGGAGCTCCACCGAAGGCCCCAGTGGGGGTGTTCGCATGCGGTTCCCCCACCCAGGGCAGCGTTTCGTGGCCCCATAGGGAGCTCCACCGAAGGCCCCAGTGGGGGTGTTCGCATGCGGTTCCCCCACCCAGGGCAGCGTTTCGTAGCCCCATAGGGAGCTCCACCGAAGGCCCCAGTGGGGGTGTTCGCATGCGGTTCCCCCACCCAGGGCAGCGTTTCGTGGCCCCATAGGGAGCTCCACCGAAGGCCCCAGTGGGGGTGTTCGCATGCGGTTCCCCCACCCAGGGCAGCGTTTCGTAGCCCCATAGGGAGCTCCACCGAAGGCCCCAGTGGGGGTGTTCGCATGCGGTTCCCCCACCCAGGGCAGCGTTTCGTGGCCCCATAGGGAGCTCCACCGAAGGCCCCAGTGGGGGTGTTCGCATGCGGTTCCCCCACCCAGGGCAGCGTTTCGTAGCCCCATAGGGAGCTCCACCGAAGGCCCCAGTGGGGGTGTTCGCATGCGGTTCCCCCACCCAGGGCAGCGTTTCGTGGCCCCATAGGGAGCTCCACCGAAGGCCCCAGTGGGGGTGTTCGCATGCGGTTCCCCCACCCAGGGCAGCGTTTCGTGGCCCCATAGGGAGCTCCACCGAAGGCCCCAGTGGGGGTGTTCGCATGCGGTTCCCCCACCCAGGGCAGCGTTTCGTGGCCCCATAGGGAGCTCCACCGAAGGCCCCAGTGGGGGTGTTCGCATGCGGTTCCCCCACCCAGGGCAGCGTTTCGTGGCCCCATAGGGAGCTCCACCGAAGGCCCCAGTGGGGGTGTTCGCATGCGGTTCCCCCACCCAGGGCAGCGTTTCGTGGCCCCATAGGGAGCTCCACCGAAGGCCCCAGTGGGGGTGTTCGCATGCGGTTCCCCCACCCAGGGCAGCGTTTCGTAGCCCCATAGGGAGCTCCACCGAAGGCCCCAGTGGGGGTGTTCGCATGCGGTTCCCCCACCCAGGGCAGCGTTTCGTGGCCCCATAGGGAGCTCCACCGAAGGCCCCAGTGGGGGTGTTCGCATGCGGTTCCCCCACCCAGGGCAGCGTTTCGTAGCCCCATAGGGAGCTCCACCGAAGGCCCCAGTGGGGGTGTTCGCATGCGGTTCCCCCACCCAGGGCAGCGCTTCGTGGCCCCATAGGGAGCTCCACCGAAGGCCCCAGTGGCTGTCTCGCATGCGGTTCCCCCACCCAGGGCAGCGTTTCGTGGCCCCATAGGGAGCTCCACCGGAGGCCCCAGTGGCTGCTCTCGCATGCGGTTCCCCCACCCAGGGCAGCGCTTCGTGGCCCCATGGGGAGCTCCACCGAAAGCCCCCGTGGCGCAGTTCGCATGCGCTTCCCCCACCCAGGGCAGCGTTTCGTGGCACCATAGGGAGCTCCACCGAAGGCCCCAGTGGCGCAGTTCGCATGCGGTTCCCCCACCCAGGGCAGCGTTTCGTAGCCCCATAGGGAGCTCCACCGAAGGCCCGCCCCGGTGGCGCAGTCCGCATGCGGTTCCCCCATCCAAGGCAGCGCTTCGTGGCCCCATATGGAGCCCCACCGAAAGCGGCACCCACAACGCGTTACCAACAATTGCTTATGGTTGGGTCTTTCGCCAGGATAATTTCGGCGGTGCCACTCTTTGATTTGCTTTGCACCGCTGCTGTGTGCAGCGCAGTGCAGTGCATTGCCTTGCACAGGTTTACCTACTCTGCTCTGCTTTGCTTCTCTTTGCGTGGAATAGTTTTGTGCTGCGCTGCACCACACTGGTCTGCCGTGCTCGAACTGCTTCCGCGCTACGTGTGGCGTTGCGCTGCAATGCGTGGATCTGCGTTGTACGCTTCTGCTTTGCTTCGCAGAAGGGAGCGATGTCGAGAAGCTGGATGGGGGCTTCCTCATGGGGCGGAGGAGGGGGGGGCAGGGAGGAGGAGGAGGAGGAAGCGGAGGAGGAGGCAGAGGCGGAGGAGGAGGAGGAGGAGGAGGAGGAATAAGCACATCATTTAATTGAAATTAGCAGCCATACTAATCATAATAATTAGAAAACGAAGCGAATAGTATGCACAATCGCAATACTAACAGGAATACTATGAATAAGACTAAGAAGAGTAATGCTAATATTATTCGTATGACTAATATTATGAATGCTAATAACAACCCTAAAGCGATGAATACGAGTACTAAGTATATGAAGAAGGCGATTATCACACTACTAACAAGAATAAAACATTTGCGGATCAGACTCATAGTACTACTACGAGCACTAACATGAACAACATTAAGAGGAGGAGGAGGAATATGAAATTCAACCATTCAAAAACAGTGCGGGTAATGATAATAATACCAAGAGCAATCGTATTCATTTGCATATGAATAAGACAATAATGCTAATACTGATAATTCGACTACTAATAATAATCATAATAATATATAAGTAAGGAAGAATACGAGTCACGCGTACACGTGATACTATCAGGAATACTAAGATAGCAACTCACACTACGAACTTTCATAATATTAATGCCACACAGCAGTAATGTTACGAACCGTACTATTAATACTGATAACACTACGAATAAGGAAAGTAGCAATACTACTAAGACTAAGAAGGCTACTATATTAAGAATAATAATGGTACTGCGAATATAGATGCGATTCATCATACTAATCTGAAGAATCAGGCAACTATCAATGCTACGAATAGTAATATCAATCAGAAGAAGACGAGGAGGAGGAGCAGGAGGAGGAAGAGGGGGGAGGAGGAGGAGGGGGGAGAGGGGAGGGGGGAGGGGCAAGCTAGGTGCGCTCATGTTATATCTGACGTCCTACCCCTCCCTCCCATCCTTGACCATGGCGTAGATATCCTCTCTATTCGCACTGTCGGATGTCGAGCATGGCAATGATCGCGAGAGGGTGCGGGATGCATGGCAGAGCACGGCATGGCATGGCGTAGAAGAGCACGGCGGAGCGTTGCATACCATACAGGCCTCGGAAACAATAGCGAACACTCATGCCACATTCATCTGTCAATGCCTCCCCCTCTCCCCAATGTTCAAAGTTGGCGGTGGGTCTGATGAGTTGCACCTCGACCGCAGTCTCCCCCAGGCGTGCCAACTTTGAGTTTGGGGGGGAGGGGGAGTGTTCAGTATTTTTTTTCCCTTTACCGTAGCATGGCGTGGCATTGTGCAGTGAAACATTGCGTCGCAAAGCATTGCAACGCAAAGCATGGCATCGCACAGCGGCGCAGAACGGAACACCACACAGCATGTCATGGCATGGCGCCGGGTTCCTCGGAGGGTATGTGGATTGTCTTCGAAAGGTTTGGGCTTGTGTGGAATCGTGGCTCCATGTCTAGCTCCTTGGGCTCCCCGAAAAGCTCCAAACAAGGCGGGGCTGATGGAGAGCACCCGCTGGCTCTGCTTCCAACATCGCCTTCTCAAAGCAGAAACGGGGCTCCCGCTTGATACTTCCTGCAAACGCCGACGCTTCAAAGTGGGGGGGGGGCTTTCGCGGCCCAAAGAATCAACGAATCGACATCGAATGTGGAATCACTTTCAATGGTTTTGGGCATTTTCTAGATTTTGGGGCCTATCTGGAAGGACCGAACATGCCCGCGCTGCAGCCGGAACACGATTTGGAACAACCAGCGGCGCAGAAATGGGGCCAGCGCTTCAGCGGTAGCAACATTTCGAAACCAAACCCATGCGAAAACCCATTTCCCGGGAATCCTGTGTTTAAAAACACCGTACGCCGAGGGGGCTGGATATCTTCCGGACGTCATCAGGGGAGAGAGGAGAGTAGTATTCATATTGTGTACATGTGGAGGGGGGAGGGAGGAGGAGGAGGAGGAGGAGGAGGAGGAGGGGGCAGGCGGGGGAGGAGGGGGATGAGGGAGGAGAGGAGGCTCGAAGGAACATGCCCCCCCTTGCTCTTGATATTGCCACTGCTGCACCACTGCTGCCTCCGTCTTTGTCCTCCTCATCCTCATCCTGCTCTCCTAGTCCTCCTCCCCTCCTCCTCCTCCTCCTCCTCCTCCTCCTTCTCCTCCTCCTCCCCTTCTCCTCCCCTCTTCTTCCCTCCTCCTCTTCGCTCCCTCTTTTCCATCCTTTTCCTCGCCCATTCCTTCCTGAACGCTCCCCCCCCACTTTTCCTCGCCCCCCTGGACGACGACGACGAGGAGACGGACGGGGGAGCGGAGGAAGGAGAGGTGTAAAGGGAGGAGGAGGAGGCGGAGGAGGAGGAGGAGGAGGAGGAGGAACAGCAGGAGGGAGAGGAGGAGCAGCAGCAGTGGTAGCGGCGACAGCAAGAGAGGCAGGCAACCAGGTGGGAGGAGGTGGAGGAGGAGGCGGAGGAGGAAGATGAGGAAGAGGAGGAAGAACAGGGCGAGGGGGAATGGAGTGCGGGAGAGGCAGGGAGAAGGAGAGGAAGGAAATGGAGAAGAAGGAGGTGCAGGAGAAGGGCGACGACGACGGCGACGACAAGGACGACGACGACGACGGCGACGACGACGACGAGTTGGTGGGCTGCAGGCTTGGCGTGCGCTGCACCATCGCAGGGGCGGCTGCAGACTGGCCCCTG